GCGCGATGCTTGGAATTTGACTCTTCTATTAAAATTGATTGATTAAAATGTTTATGATCAGAGTATACTTGTTATGATGTGATGGTAAAATTGGTAGCATATCCAGTAAATGGTGTGGAAATATATTCAGTTGTGGTAGTTTTGTCTTTATCAATCTTACTTACTTACTAATTAAATGGATAAAGGCTAAACATAGTTCCCTAGAGCAATCTCGTCCTCCAGTTTCAAAGAATCGGCGCCAAGGCATAAAGTCAACAGACCTTTAAAGGTAGACAATGCTTGACTCTTATCTGTGCAAAGAGCTGGAAGTTTTATTCGATTATACGTTTTTGTTTGCTGAAAATATCGTTCAAACATGTAATGGTGCAGTGAAATTGTTGGAATTTATATTTCGGAATGCAAGTGACTTTGAGTGCGCTCTACTTTAGGTAAATAAAGTCAAGTTGGAATATCGTTCAGCTAGAAAACGTTTAAACGAAATTTTTAAAATTTTTAGATTTCATACGTAATGGTGTCTTTCCTCTAACAGCCAAGCACGTTCTTTTTTATTTTTATTTTGGTTTTCTCATTATAAGAAGAAAAGTTAATTAAAGATTTTCTTCTTTCTTCCGTGGTATTTAGGTTAACCTGACTTATCATCAATTATCAAAAAGTTATATTTGCATCGCAGAATGTCTCGAAGATTGAAAATGTCTCAAAATTTGTACTTTCTTTGAGTATTTTTTATCAACTTGCGTTGTTACTATGTGGTACAACTTTATTTAAAAATCAGGTATTGGATTTCAACAAAAATTTCCTTACTCATTTTTTGCGGTAAACAGAAAATATACAGGCTCGGTCAAAAAGCAGATATTGTTAGCAAGTTCCTTTTTTTTTTAAATGGAGAATCATTTTTTAAATACGTTTAAGAATTCTGCATCAAATTTCACGAATAATTCATGTAGCATATTTTATACGTACCTCTTACTTTTTATGGCCAAAAGAATAAAAAATAGAAATTTCATTTTGAGATAAACAAGCAAGTCGCTAGTACCACCAAAGTTCTTAAATTATCACAATTACGTAAAAAAAGTAAATAAAGTGAATATGGCTCAAAGAATTGAAGTTTTAATTTTTAACGGATATGGATAAAGAAGTTTGCAATTGTTCTTGACGATATGCTCATGTGTTTAAAAACCATTTCAACACATTACTCAGGATATTTGCATTAATTTGCCTTTTTTCTTATGTAACTCTTTAATATTTAATTTCTTTAATTCATCAGGGATTATTTGTACTCCGATATCTGGCGATAAAAAAAATGATTTAAATTGCACATAGTCTCACAAAACTGTATCCTGCGATCATCTTTGTTCAGCTCCATTACTAATCTTGTTTGTATACATTCTCGGCTTTTTCGTTGGTAGAATTAATTTCATGCAATAATTTTAGTTTTATCCGCTGATGAGTTTATTTGTCGTAGTATTAAGCCTTTTTTACGTTCTTTAAGCTTAGTTGATATTTTTCGTCCGGTCTCTCCGATATATTCGGATCGGATGACCCCCTGCAATTTTTTCTTGTTCCCAAAACTCAAGAAGCCCGTAAAGAAAAGAAAAAAAAGAACTGAAAGCTATGCCAGAAAGTGTTTACCAGAATTGCTTCGAGGATTGGCAAAAACGTTTGCACAAGTGTATTATATCTTTGAAAGGTACATCATTAATTTTTATGATTGAATAAATAATTTTTGATAAAACTTAACAGTCACCTTACTTTTTGAACGCACCTCGTATAAGCAGGTACAGAGTAAAATGCGAGCCAGTTTCATTTAAGCTCTGAAGAAGCCAAAAGTATGATTGGCGAAACATCAGCATCAGATTTGTAAATGATAACCTTGTACGGATAATACTTTTCTTCTTTTAATACACGCAAAGCTGTTCGTTGGCTAACATCATTATTTGAAGCTACTTCAGAATTTGCACTTCTAATAAAATGTTTAATATTATTGTGTTCTTATTTTTAACGACCTCTATACATTTTACTTACTCAATGTAGATCTTGTAATGGATCCTTCTGAATATTTTGCATTAAACAAATTACAAGCTTCATCTTGACTACTCGTTTTGTTTCCATATCCAATAAAAATTAAAATTTTGCTCATAAAAAGTAAAGGATAGGTATTAAATATGGTATTTGAATTATGCACCTCCTTTTTGATCCACTCTGTATATTTTATGTTTGCTGAAAAAAATTATGGACGTGTTCGAGCATTTTTCTTGAAATCCGATAACTGATTTTTAAATGAATTTGTTCCATATGTTAGCGGATTCTGTTCCCATGCATAATTCGGATGGTTGTTCAAATCGTATTGATATCATATTTCAATCCGCCTAATGTATGTACTTACCTGGATAAATATGAAGCGAGAGTGTTCGGGTCAGTGTTGACGATTTGATGTGTTTCTATTTGAGACCGCAGTAGCTTAATACTAATAACGGGAGGGACTAGTGTACAACATTTCTAACGCACTAACAACAAATTGATCGTCTTTCTGGTTATTATGCCCTACTGAATGTTTGAACGTGGATCGAAATCATGGCAACGTTTAAAATATCATTTACTGACGTTCCTGGGTTAAACAAACTATCGATTTGTCGTTTTTGCCGATTATTCTTTTTTTGTTGCTAAAGCTTGGGATTTATGTTGTGCTTTATATTTTTGAAATTCTTGAACATTCAATACCAAAAACCAGGAAAAATGATGCAGGTAAAGTCTGTTCATAGATATAAGAAAGTGACTAACTGATACGAATTAAGGAAAGATCCGGCTGTAAGCTGTAGAAGAATGAAATATGGCCGAACAGGTCCGTACTTTGCTTAGAATTTAATAATTTGGGGTTTTGTTAGGAAAGATACTAAACAATATTTATTACTACTTAAATTACTTAAAATTATTCACATAATATATCAGTATCACTATCGCTATCATCGCCTGTTCTAATTATTATTTGTTCTATATTATACGATATACGATTGTTTTGCTTTTTCTATATGTTTAACAGAATTTGCCCAACTTTGTGGAGGGATGTTAAAAACTTCGGTTTCTATAAGTTTGAGGACATTGGAGTTAACACGGGGAAAAACATTGTTACGACGATTGGCAGATTTCAGTTGGTGCCAAACATGTTCAATGGGATTAAATATACAGTGGTGAGGTGGAAGCCTTAAAACTGTATGCCCTACATTTTTTGCGTAATTCTCACCGACGTCTTCCTTTTGAAGGTTCAAGCTTTGTAGAACCTCAATTAATTGCTTTTTGGTATAATCTTCTTGAAAATCAATGTCGTTATTATACATGTAGTTTTGGATTGTTGCTTTTGTGTCACATGAGGAAGGGGTTTTAGTCAACTGTCTACTGTGATAACTTGCGACAATCCAGGAAAGAATCTTTAATATTTCTTGCAGACAGAGGAAGTCCATTTGGAATCCAACCATCTTTAGAGCCAGCCTGCAAAATAGTTATTCTTTTACCTCTTTTTGATGGCATGCTTGTTTTACACTTATCAATTGAGTCAACCCAACCGGGGTATCACAAGTGTCGAACCAGGTTTCATCCAAGTAAATAATTGGCGTTTGTTGTTCTCTGTAAATCCTAATTTTTTCTAGATATTCCAGTCGCCATTTCCGAATTCTAAAAGGCTCCATTAAAACTAGCCTTTTGTCAGTTTTTTACCTCTAAAACCCATGTGTTAAAGACACTTCCATAAGGTAGTTCTGCCACATTTAACACCGGTTTCACGCTTTGTTCCTCGTATAACTGGTAAATTTTAAGCCGTATTATATCTTGATCACTTTCATCTACACTCGAGAAAGTGTCAGCATCGCTTCTTTTTTTCCTCGCTGAAATGGGATTATTCACAATTTTCAGTTCACAATACAGTTAATGTTGAAATTTTCGTCAATGTCTAAAGATGCTTACTTCTGGCACCACGTTCAATGAGAGTCAAATAAACATTGTTTATAACTTCCTTAGTCTCAATAGATTAGTGTTTTCTACATTTGGGCGGGACCACCTCCTGAGATACACTAGACTCGCATATATTTTGCATAATTCGCACACGATTCAACACATGCTTTATTACACACGAAATAAACATGATTACTAATAAACTTAAACTAAGTAGTATACCAAACCAAAGAATATTAAAAACAGGTAGGTATAAAATTATTTACTATTACGGACCACAATTTTACCTGAATTAAAATTCCGAAACTTTAGGTAATAATCTTGTATGTTAATGACCACCCTTGGATAATCCCCGCCAAAAGCAACTGGTCACTTTCTTATATCTATGAACAGACCATACAAAAAGTAATTATAAAAAAGCCATTTACTGACTTAATTCAAGAAATCATATCTTGTACCTTACGCCTGTGTATAATAACAAAATAGTAATATTTAAAGCGATTCATACATCAATCGTTAGTTACCACATCTGTTTCGCCATGATAGAAGGCTACATCGTCCCGACAGTGGCTGGTAGTCTTCTATTGGGTAGGTAGGTACTACCTGTCCGCCATTATCGAAGCAGTGGGGTCTGCAATCATGGCCGTCGTTGATGCGATCGTCATTGGGTCGTTGCGGTGCAATATAATAGGTACGCAGGAAAGAGAAGGGGAAGAGAGGTTTTTATATCATTGAAATGAACTATAATAATAGTTTCTTCAAGGAACAACCAACTTTTATATATGGCATACCTTAATTTTACATTTTATTAAAATGGAAAAACACGTAACTAAATATTTGGCATCGTTACAAGAATGTCCACCATTTTTGCGTCTCATCAACCGCAGAAGTCGACCGTACATTTGTTTTTTCGTCAAAAATTTAACCAAAGTTTGATTTCTTTTAATTTAAAACTTTTTGAAAGCTTCATTATTAATTGTCTCTTTTTGTTTTCACATACGGAAATTCGTGGCATAAATTGTTCTTTTAAAATGTTTATATTTGTCATATTTTTACAGAGAAGGGGTCACGTGTTGATGCGGTAGGGTTTGCGCATAGCGCCCTCAGCAAGCAACTAGGTAAGTTTCTAATTTCTCACTCAACTGGAGATATACAGGTATCAATTCTTCCTTAAAAAAAACACCTTGAATGTTGTGTAAGTTCGACACAATTGTATAGGGCTTAGTTGTGACAAATGCAGTATCTTGAGTTTCAAGATTTCCCTTTCGTTTTGGATTATTTTAATTAATAAGAAACATGGCCGATTTTGCGCTCCATTTCTTCCATCTGAATTATTAAAACATGCCGAGCCGATGGCCCCACAACACACGTAAAGTATAAACCACGGATAATTACCCTTATTAATAATTTTAATACGTATCCGCTTCAACTGCTGTTAACAAAAAAAAATGGGGGGAACCACCCATAAAAACCCCAGAAAAATTCACTAGCAAATCATTATTTTAAGGACGCGATATTAATTTGGTTGTCCGGGATGTATGTGGCCATTGTAAATTCGCTCCTTTTTAGTCTCTGTTGCCCCTGAAACATTTAAATAAATTACCGTCGATTTTTCACCGGTTCCAATTTTAGCGTCGCGACGCCACGGGCTTGGCGGTTCGCCGTAAACCTTTACTTGAATTACTTCGTTGCAGATGGAAATGACATGCCGACCGTCCTAATTGTCTAATTATTAACCGTCGGTCACTATAGAAATTAAGCTTCCACAAGTTTTCCAAAAATTTGCTACTTCCAATTGATTTTTTTGCATCCTAGTCTTACTCATTAGCTTGACCTAACTGAGTGAAAGGAACTAATGGAAGGAATAGTCTATTTTTTAATTAATTTCATTATAATTTTGGTGATCTTTCTGTTCTATATCTGTTTTGAGCATTTTTTCTTTCAGATATTTTTCTACCACTCATGAGTTTTTTGGCTTGCCTATTGTTTCTTTACAACTTCTTTAAAAGCAAACTATCAAGCCACTTGAGAGACAAACTTGGAATTCTTCGTGTTTCTGGCACTTCTCTAGTGATTTGTTCCGATTTCCTTTTCAATTTTGAGCGTATTTTTTATTGGCGAATGTAGAAATTCAAGAAAAGAAATCTAATTGCTCTAATTATCCTAAAAAATAGTTATAACTTATTTCAAGTACATCTTTGAAGGTCCATTTGAGATAAAATAATCTCTATTCTTTCTGGAGAATAGGCTTACAAATGGAGAACACTCGGAATACACTCTGGGAGACAAGCCTGTAACGGTTCATTCTTTGTCTCCTGCTTTTGTTTGAGGAGTTTTCTCAAAATTTTTTGTATTTGATCAAATTGGCGTGGAAAGTGCTGTAGATAAACAAAATTGGATAGACGAGGAAGTTTTTCAGTTAATACATTTTTATGAACATCAACTACAAAGACAACTAGGTTTATTTATTATCGATTGATATACGTCCGGTTTCATGGTTGTGGTCGGCAACTGCTGATGAGTTTGTTGTAGTCTTAAAGCTTTCATGTTCTTTGAGTCTAGTTTATATTTTTCGTCCTCTCTGTCCAATGTATTCATTGCCGCATATGCATGGAATGCTGTAAACTCCTGGCATCTCAAACGGCATTTTGTCTTTAACGGATGGAAGATGTTGAGAAATGTTTGGACAAGTGGTAAATCTGATTTAGACATTACATTTCTTAGGAACTTTTGATATGTTTTGAATGTAACGATTAAGTTTTGTGATTAACTAGTCCAAGGTGCAGTATTAAAATTGCACATCACTTAGTAACCCTTCTAAAGACTTCTCTGGAATTTATTATAAATATACTGTGTCAAAATCACATTCGAATAAAATAAAACTTGACTTGGGCAAACGAAGTTTTTCTTCCAGAAATAAATATCCCAAGCAACATTTTTAGTCGCCGTTATGGGGAACATTTTGATGGTAAAGTACTAAAAATTAAAAAAAATAATTGCGTTTATAATTTTCTAAGAAAGCATAGAGTAACTTTTATTTATCACTTCTAAGTTACATTTACTTCGAAATGCATGTTTTCATGTTGACGTAATACAGACTTTTAAATCGAAAGATAATTTTAAATATTTGAAACTGCACTGTGGAAACGACTTCAACTACTACTAAGTTCCATTTGGAACTTCAACCTATATTTTGTGAAAGTGATCATCAGCGTACGTTGTCAAAGTTGTCAAGTCAAAGTTACTTTGAAGTATGAAACTTTGTTGTGATTTTAAATCGGAATGGGGAGTAAAACTCACCTTGTAGCAGATTTCTCGAGTACGATGACAGTAAATTTCACGTCGGATATCCCTATACAGTTGTGTTAATTTGAAGGATTTTTTGAAGTCGCGAAAACTTGAAAGTTACTATCATCATTACGGCAATATAATAAAAGCTTTTGTAACGCAGTCGAGTAATAGCGACCTTTTAATATAACTTTAAGCGAGACTTCAACGTAATTTTTCATAGTAACAATTCCTTTGCAAATTCTATTGAAACTACTTAGAAGTGCGGAAACTATAAAGTTTTCATTTGTGGTGATAATTACTACGTAATTATTCGAACTCGCTAATATAGAGTAATAAAAACTGTAAAAAAGTAATAATTACGTAACAAGTACTTTTTCGAAGTTCCCACCCCAGTTACCGCAGCTTTGATGCTGTTTGGGATAGCTCCTTGCCAGAAATTATTGGCTTAGCATTCTAGTTAAGAGGGCTCATTAATTGAATGGAATTAATGCTGCGTATACAGAGTGCAGTAATGGCTAAAAAGTTTGGTTCAATCGAAATAACTGCATTCAGAGAAATAGTTTATCGCCAAAAGCTTTCGGTTAAAGTTCATCCGATATGAGATTAAAATAGGTATTATCAAACTTTCAAAGTACAATACAATAATCAGTATCCCAATAACAGTAGTTTCTTGGGCGATGTTCAGCTCAACCAAATTAGCACTGTCCCGTTTTGGCACACTCGTTCAGAATTAATGTTATTGACAGTTGCGATCGGAATTGAACAAACGAATTGTTTTTATTTTTGCGCTTTAATGTGGCGAACGCAAGGCGGCATTGTGATTTTAATTTCAGCAAAATTCACTTTATAAATCAAATATTTCATTTTGCAATTTTGAAAATCAATTTGAAAAACGCCGCGTTACGCATTTTTTTGACATATAAATGGAAAATTATTTATCGCGGTTTGGGCTTATCTTATTAATCGGCCGACAAATAAATAAATAGCCAATAGCCAAAAGGTTTCGATTTGACACGCGGGAAAAAAATGTATTCGCTCAGTATCGTTAATAATGAATGATAGATGCCGGCGTCATTTTTAATTGACACGTGGTTTCGGTGGTTTGCCAGCTATTTCACGAGAAATGATACACGACAAATTAATTGGAGTACAAACGATAAGCAGTTTTTTTCCCGCCAAGTGGAGAGCTTATTATCGTCGGTAATCTTTAATATTTACGGAAACAGGGTGTCCCATAAATAATAGTAAGTCGAAAAATTTTCTTGGGCAAAATTTTGAGATTTAGCCAAATCTAGTTTAGTTCAGACCATACAGAATGTCGAACAGACATTGTTCTTCTTCTTCTTCTTGTATCAGCTTCTCGTTTGGAGGTTGCTGATCATCATGGCTACCTTCACTTTTGATACTGCTGATCTAAATAATTCAATTGACGATTGACCAAACCATTCTCGAAGATTGCGCAACCAAGAGATTCTTCGGCATCCTACACTTCGTCTACGTACAATTTTGCCCTTCATAATGAGATTTAGCAGCTCATATCTTTTACTGCGTGATATATGCCCCAGGAACTCAAGTTTGCGTTTTTTAATGGCAAAGGGTATTTCGAGTTCTTTGCCCATTCTTCCTAACATATCCTCGGTTGTAGTTCTACTCATCCACCAGACTCTCAGCATGCGTCTATAAGTCCACATTTCAAAAGCTTTCAACCTCCTTGTGGTTTTTCTATTCAGCCTCCAACCTTCCAAGTCATAAAGCAACACAGAAAATACATAGCATTGGACAATTTTTGTTCTTACTGTTACGATATGAAGACTTTTCTTGCCTGTTCAATGCGTGTCAGGATTTCCTGTTAATGTTGAACGTCTTCATTAATTATGGTGCCAAGATATTTGTAGTGTGTTACTTGTTTAATAGTTTTGACTTCTACGATGAGCTGACCTGTTGCTTGCTTCCTTTTTGTTATCACCATCATTTTAGTCTTGTTGTTCATGTTGAGACGGTAATCTTTGCTAGTTTTCACTACTTTGTTTAATAGTCTCTGTAAATCCTCGAGAGAACCCGCACACAAAACAGTGTCGTCAGCTTACCTAATATTATTAAGGATTTTCCCATTTATTACTAACTCAGCTGAAGCTCAGTCTTCCAATGGTTCTCTAAAAATGTTCTCCCAGTATATGTTGAATAGCACTGGCCCTGACACCCTTCCGTATGCTGACCTCTTCGGAGAAAGCGTTATCTATTCTGACCTTAGCGGCTTGACCCCAATACAGCTTTGAAATAATCTGCATGTCGTGATAGTCAACGTTCAGTTTTTGTAGGATTTCCATTAGTTATTCATGCCTCCTATTATCAAACGCTTTACTATAATCTACAAAGCAAACCTATAGATCCTGATTGACGTCTAGACATCTCTGGGCAAGAACGTTAAAGGCGAAAATGGCTTCCCGAGTTCCAAGCCCATTGCGGAATCCAAATTGATTGTCAGAGGTTTCAGTTTCGCATATGTTGTGTATTCTGGCGTGCACAATTCTTAGGAGTATTTTCAGAACAGGGCTCATTAGACTTATCGGTCGGTGGTCGCCACATTTAGATGATCGAGATTTTTTTGGGATTGGAACAAAAGTAGACAGAAGTCACCAGAACCAGTCTTGTATATGTCTTCGAACAGATCTAACAGTGCCTGCATCGAATGTTCGTCAAGCAATTTCAAAAGCTCACAATTCACATCGCTTTCATCATCACTGCTTTTCCAAATTTTGCTATCCTTATAGCGTGGTCAATTTCTTCTCTTGTTATTAGAAGTGGGTTCTCGGTTGTTGTTAGCTCG